TACGACGCCGGACGGCAAGAAGCGGCTGGACCGCCGGAAATGCGCTTGCTTTCCTCCAGGCCAGCCTTTTTTTCTGATACTTGTCAGTTGTGTTATGATGGTCCGCCGGAGCAGCTGGCATGCGCTGCCATCCCTGCCATAGCTAGCAACTGCCCACTGTGAACCTGCAGGTAACATACAACCACGACAATGACGATGATATTCCGAATATGCCCTTCATTTACCCCTTCCAGGCTTCCACATCGCCTCTTTTCCGCAACACTACTCCCGCAATAACGATGGACTCATTCAATTCATCAAATGTCAAAAGCCAATTCGCTTTCCTTTAATGACCAAAATATCCTCGCTTATAAATCTGGTATTTTCTGTGAAAGCTGCAGCTTCTTAGTCTGGAGGTTTTAAATGGAAATTTTTTTCAAGGTAAAACAGCTCGGACTCGAGAATGGGACCAAAATAATGTACCAGAAGCGGGAATGGTGGTGACGGTGCGTGTTTGGGATGAGGTTTGCCTGAGCGCCGCTGCAATAATTTATTTGCATAATAAAGTGGAATAGTATACTTACAGAATTTTTAATTTCTATTATTGTGTCTTTATAAATACCACTTTTTTATGGGTTATTGAGAAAAAATTAACATAATCTAAATTACTAAATATTCATAGTAACTGGTTTTTAAAGAGAAGAGATCGTTTTAGAGCTCAATAAGTTAATAAAAATTAACACATTAAATTGATTTATATAATCAATGTATTATATTTTAATGGAGAGTATACAAATTTATCCAATTAATGGTGAGTTTTAATATAGTTTTTAATTATTTTTTAGTCACTGAACGTCTCAATAATAATAATAATAATAATTGGAAAGAAGACCAAAAACAATATAAAAAATGGTGTGATAAAATTTCAATTCAGCCCAAATAAAATTATTAAATTATAATTTAAAACTTTGAAAATTGAGTTAAATGTCAAACAATATCTAAATCTTGCATGATTATTTTGAGAATGAGCATCTTTACATGATAAATTTTATGAGACCAGCATTATTAAATTTTAATGTCATCAAAACACATAAATGTCAAATGTCTATAATTTAAGGAATTAAAATGAGTGATTTGATGGAATATTTTAAGCATTTTTTTTTAAATGTACCAGATTGTCACTTATAAACACATTAAAAATAGATATATATTCTCCACATAAGAATGGGTTCTCAAAGGTAATGTTGGACTTACAATTGGTGAGATTGTTGCATAATGATTGATGCCAACCATTTGTCATAATAATTATCATTTTCCAATAATCATTGTTAAACCAGAATCACTCAAATTATAATTTCTTGATAATCATTACTTGATTATCTTTATTTGACTGTCGTTTCTATCACTTAATAAAGAATTAATAAAATCACCATCTTATAAAGCTGATGCATGTTATTGACACCGATATTGTTGTCATGCATTTTGTTGTCCACCAATATCAAAATTATTGATATATGTATACACTTTTCCCATGAGGTTAATACACATCATCAATGCAATTCTATATCTTTCACAATGCAATGTGCTCAATACAAATTTATGTATAGTACTTTGCATTAAAACTTTTTTAAATTATGAGAAATTGCCTTATTTGTATTTTGAAACATACACTAGTGAAATTATTTTAATTTGGTTCGAATTGAATGAGTGAATGAAAGTAATGCATGAAGGGACTCAACATGTTATGTCCAAAAAGAGCAATTGTCATGTTGCAATTTGCAATTTCTCTATATAAATAATAAAATTTATTATTTTTCTAATACAATTCAGTAACTTTCATAATGCAATGTACTCAACACAAATTTATGTCAAGTTGCATTAATACTTTTTAAAATTATGAGAAGTTGCCTTATTTGTATTTTAGAACATACACTTTATCTTAATTTTGTTTGAATTGAGTGAGTTGTAATGAATTAAAGTAATGCATGAAGGGGCACAACATGTTATGTCCACAAGTGTAATTGCCCATGTTGGAAATTGTAATTTCTCTATATATATAATAATAAAAAATTTTAATGCAATTTATGCTCGGCACAAAATTATGTATAGTACTTTGCATTAATGTTTTTTTTTTAATTATGATAAATTACCTTATTTGTATTTTAAAACTTTTTCTTTTCACTAGGACCGTGAAATTAACTTGAAGATCGTTGATCAACCAAAAGTTCTATAGAACTTTAGATCGGATCGAGGTCAGCTTGAAATAATTGAGTCGAGCCATGACACAAATCTAAAAACTGGACACTGTTTTGAATCAATCTGACTTGCGAATTAGGGTGAAGCTTATGAATGATGGATATTATATGTGAATATGTGACATGATATATGATGTTAAATCTGACTCTTGCTAGAAGCTATTGTATCCGAAGTCCGGCCTCATATTGTCAGAGTTCGAACAATATTATTGACTTTTTGAGCCTCAGACTCAGTTAGATCCCATTACCTTTACCTTTTTTGATTTTTATAGTGCTCAATGCTTCCTTGCTAGTTGCTTCACTCAAACAGCTCTAGGCCTCTGATATATATATTTCTTCTTTCATAAATCTTAACCATAGATCTTTGTGTTTTCAAATGAGAAAGTCACTCTCAGTCAATATCCTCAACATTAAGCCATTAGGCCATATGCCACAGTCAATGGAGTCCATGAGTCGTATTAGGGGTTTGAGATTTCCTGTTTGAAATTTTTTTTAATTTTCTGTCGTTTTACTCTAGTATTCAAGTGGTGAAAAAAGAACTCACAATTGCAAATGCAATATTTTTTTATTGCTTAATATGCTTTTTCCATCAGTTATTATAATTTTGATTAATTGGCCAAATTTTTTGTGTCAATCATGGCTATTCATGAATTGTAAGTGTTTTCTACAGCCCACATTTGATTAGTTAACTACATTGGATGTTGTGGCAATTAGGGCTGTCAAAACGGCTCGTTGTTCGCGAACAGCTCGTGTTCGGCTCGAAAAGAAGCTCGTGTTCGGCTCGTTCGCTAAGTTAACGAGCCGAACATGAAGAACATGAAAAAAATTTTGTTCGTTCGTGTTCGGCTCGTTCGCTAAGTTAACGAGCCTAATCAACTCTCTCTCTCTCTCTCTCTATATA